TACAGGTTTGTAGCCTGGGAGCAATAGGCTATACCATATAGCTTAGGTGTGCAGTAGGCTATGCTATTTAGGTTTGTGTAAGTACACTCCATGATGTTCACAAAATGACAAAATCGCCTAATGACACCTTTAACTCTATTTGTTTTTCAAGTCTCCATTCTTTCATTTAGCATAATGCTTTCAAGATTCATTCATGTTGTAGTATTAATCAGTACTTGATTTCTTTTTACTGCCAAATAATATTTCATTATATAGTTATACCACATTTTATTTATCCATCCACAAGTTGATGTTCATTTGGGTTGTTTCCACTTTTTGGCTATTATGAATAATGCTGCTATGAACATTTATGTATAAGTTTTTGTGTCAACTTATGTTTGAATTTCTCTTGGGTAGGTATCTAAAAGTAGAATTGCTGGATTTTATGGTAACTTTATGTTTAATCACTTGAGGAACTGCCAGGCTGTTTTCCAAAGCAGCTGCAGCATTTTACATTCCTACCAGAGGAGCATGAGGGTTCTCATTGCTCCACATTCTCGTCAACATTTATTTTTGATTATAGCCATCCTAGCAGGTGTCAAGTGGTCTCTCACTGTGGTACTTACTCACTCTCACTACTTCTTAGCACAAGCTCTTTCAAATTGAATTGAAGCCCTACACCATATTATATTACATTCAGCACTCCTCTGACTATCCACCCATCCATGTTAGCCAAAGAGAATGGTCACTGTTTCCCACAGACCTGTGGAAGCTCCTGTTGAGCCCCGTGATTAAGCCATGCTCTCTGCATCCCACCTTTCAGCTTAATTAAATCCTCCTCTCTTCACGTGTGGCTTATGTCTCTCTCTCCTCATTTGGGCAGCCCTCTCTGACCATCTGTAGCGTCATTCTTTTGCCAGTAGCATTTGGTTTTTATTAATCATGTGCCATGCCACTATGTATACTCCTTCTCCCGAAATTTAGAATACCACTCCCCCAACCAGCACCTCATAGGCAGAGATTTTGTCTTAAAAGTCCCTGTATTTCCAAAATCTAGCAAAGTGCATAGTTGTATTGTACAAAGCCAAAAAAATTAATCTTTAAAAAACAGTTTATTTCTTGACTTTTTCATCTGAAAAAAACCAATTATTAGTAAATGTAAAATAATTACCTTTAAAAATGCTGGGAGCAGCCTCCATTTTTCCTGTGAACCAAAACA